CAGTTAACCTTGAATATATCCTACACTTTACCTGTACAAAAAAAAACATTTGACTCGTTTAAGGTGCTTGATTAGGGATCTCAATATTTAAGATTTCAGATAAACCCTACCATTTTTGAGGTATCTTCTCATAAGCACTTAATTTGAAACTATCGCCTATAAAGTTCACTTTTCTCATTGTAACTCGCCTGTCTTCAGGAATTTTCAACAATGCATACATGTTACACTGTTATTCTTTATATATCCTAAATTATGCAAGATATGGAAACAATCTTTTTACTACCTATTTCCAGTACTTTCAGTCGTCTTACAAATTTTCTTGCGTTAATTGTAAATTTACTCGTCAATTTTTTTCTTCATGCGATTATCTTTGAGTTTGAGTTTTCTTGGAGCCGTTCTGAAAGAACGTAAATGGATTTTTTATGGAAGATAAATTCTCTAGAATTTTGGATTTTTTCGTTTATCCTGCTCAATAAATTCAAGACGGATACAATAAAATTACTCCGTGCTTCTACTTGTAATGCTCGCATAAAAGGGCCAGTGGAAAATCCATCAAGTTGCCTCGTTCAAGTTGCCCATGCATACTTTTTTGAAGCTTTTCGTTTCTTTTTCGAGCTCACAAGTAAACGGATTAGCAACTAGTACTGTAAGAATAAAAAATGGTGAAGTGTAATGAAAATCTAGAACTTGACAGTGTGTTAAGCTCTTTAAGACACCGATCAGCTAAAATTCTGAATTCTACGAGTTTTGAGGGCCTAATTCCAAAAATTTCCAACTTTTCAACCTCTTCAGATCATCTCGGTTTAGGGGCAGCGAAAGGAATGCTCTTTCAAAGAAATTAATTAAAAACGTACAGTAGTTGTATTGTTTAATAACAGCTTAGTGCTCAAAAGCCCCAAAACTCAGGAACACAGTAAGGGGTGGAGCCTAGGCAAATTTTCCTGAATAAAAGTTTAATTTTGACCATTATAGGCTGGATTTACCGTTTTTTATCATTTCTGCATCGTTAGACCAAACTTCTAGTTCATTATAGGCATTCTATCAAACTAGTCAAACCATTAGGCAAAAGCAAGCCTAAGGCTACAAATAATTTATGATACGATGTATAATA